ATTGCTATGTCAATCAAATTTGATGGCTATATTGTTGTACTTAGAAGCTAGAAATGAATGGAGATAGAAGATTAGTTGAGGAGATTTTACCTTTTTTTTGGTTAAGGGTTTCGCATATTGTGTTTTGGTTGTGATGTGAGAGCAACATATGTGGATGATTAAGGGATCATTTGGCAAGTCTTTTTGGGAAGATTTTCTAGTAGCTTTGATAGTCAAAAGACGCATTAAGCTTTTGCATTAAGATCTAAGCATCCTGAAGGCCGTTTGGTTAAGGCAAGTCTTTCTACACAAAGATGAATAGACAAAAAATGCAAAAACTCCATTTGGAGCTTCCCAAAAATCGCCCGTTTTGGGCTTCTCACATCTTTTCAATGCATCATCTTTTAGCGGCTAGATCTACCACAAAACAAATAGGAAAAGACCAAATCGTAGTCTGTTGGGCTTGTAAATAGCTGACATACCGTGCAAAAAGACACAACAAACTGGGCTTAAGACTTGGATGCACCTTAAGCCAATGTTGTACGGATTATGTAGGAACCGGTGAATAATCAGAAAAACCATGACTCTAGAACATGCCAATTTTCAGTCTAGACCAAGTCTTACAATATTGCCTCGAACAACAAATGTTGCATGTCAAAGAATAAAAATCTATTCAAGGGCCTTGCCTGAAAGCTTAAGCTTTTAAGTTGAATGGTTCTTTGAGATGATACCAGAGCCTATTTGACCAAGTGGTTTAGTGTTCAATCCTCGTTGTTTCCATTATAGTTAATTAAATTTCAACACAAGGTATGGATGGGCCCACACTTATCCAGACTTCAAGTCCTATGGGCTTTTGTGTAAGGGGGTGTGTTAGAGAATAAAAGGTGTTGTTTGGCAAGTCTTTTTTGAAATATCTTCCAGCAGCCCAGATGGCCAAAAAACATATTGAGCTTTTAGGGTATTGTTTTTAAAGATAATGACTGTTTGGTAAGCGGCTCACTAATTCTTGGTCTTTAAAGTTTGTCGAAACCCAAAAGATTGACTACGTGAAAAGACTTGCCAAACGCCACCAAAATCTATTCAAGGGAAGCTTTTAGGATGAACAGTTCTTTGAAATTACAAAATCATCACTATAATATTATGCTGGGGTTTTTGTTATATTTATTTGTTTATGTAAAAACGCCAATGCAATGACAGAGTTGGAATTTTGTATAAGGATAATTATAGAAATATCAAATTGATATTTTACTTGCAAATTTGCAAAAAAGTTTAAAACATTTAAGAGAGGTGTTCACGTGTATGACTACAATTTTCAAAACAAAAGCAACTACCACATTAGCAAAATCATACGCATCACTAAAAATCATACCTTTGAAGCTCAATTTGGGATAAGTGCAAATACAAGGCTTAGAAATATGGTATATGAGGTTTCCAACTGTACATCTTTGTATTAGTATTCTTCCCAAACAGAACCTAACAGGCAAAAATTGGGTTGTCTAGGTTCCACAGCTTGTGATGTCCACATGGCTCTCCCTACATATGACACATCAATATTTTAAAAACTAAATTAGAGGCTGTATAGTTTTTGCCTCTGAGTCATGGATCACCGGTTTGACCATTTGGGTCAACTAAGTCAATCGATGAAACATTAGAAATTTATATATACATATAAAATATGTATATGTATATATATAGGTATAAACATATATTGTATTAATAAAATAATGTATAATTATATTTTACATGTAATATATGTGTATATAAGTATTATTTTATATTTAATTTATATTTTTAATTTGTAAAAATGCTAAACATTATTATTTGAGGCCAAAAATGGGGTTTTGGCAAAAAAAAAAGGGGGTAAAGTGCCTTTGGTTGGATCCTTGGAACACATAGATCTCAAAAATTTACCCAAAATCAAAGAAAATATCACCTCAATCAGAAATGGAAATGCTAAGTTATGGCCTTTGTAAGTTTGTATATGCAACCCGTGATCCAATGGCTGAGTCAAATGGGTCAATAATTCAACTGCCTGGGTTGAACGACTTTTGAAGGATTTCCCGATTTCCCGAGACCCAGACCTAGAATTGTAATTGGGTGACGGTTCAACAGTCCGGGTCAATGATGAATTGAAAACACTGTGACACATTAGTCCATATGAATTCCACAACCATAACAATGCTAAAGGCATAATTGAATGGAAGAAGAAAACTTTGGGTATCTAAATCCAACATTGTAGGCTGTCAACAGGTAACATGACAGTGATAACACCTTAGAGCCTATTTGGGAGGGATGCAGCTTCAATTGAGCTGTGTTAACTGAGCCGCTTTGAAGAAGCTACCAAAACTAGCTTCATCAGAAAGTTAACTTCTTATTTATTAGCTCAAGGAACGTATCAACAATATGGGGAGATCAAATCAGCCCCCCACAACGTCCTACAGCACATTTCTGTCATGTATTGAAAACATCTCCTCGTGATAATATCAGAAATGATGATGTCATCATCCTTGTGGAGGCTGATTTTAACTCTGATACCAGTTGAAAACACTGACACATTAGTCTATATGAATTCCACACAGCCATAGCAATGCTAATGGCATGGTTGCATGAAAGAAAAAACTTTGGCTGTCTAAATTCAACATTGTAGGCTGTCAACAGGGCTTTTCCAACATGACAGCGATAACACCTTAGAGTCTGTTTAGGAGGGATGCAGCTTCAATTGAGCTGCATTAACTGAACCACTTCGAAGAAGCTACCAAAACTAGCTCCATCATAAAGTTGACTTCTTATTTCTTACCTCAATAAAAGCGTATTTAGACTTTACAAGTTTTTAATCAAATATAGCTTCTAACCTTTTCATGTAGGACCCACCCTACAAATTCAGAAGGAAGTTGCTGCGTGAAACCCCCCAAATGGGCACCAACAATGCATCCACACCGATACTGTTCAGTGAGTTTGAACTTCGAACCAAGGTGTCGTGTTGGGAGAGGCATGTTGCAGCCTAGGCTGTCCAATTTAGACAACAAATTTTTTTCCGCTGATGGTTGGTAAGAGGAATCCTTGATCCTTCGGTCACTTCCTCAATAAATGGATTTTGATTTGAGTGCTCTAAAATGTATACCCTTTAAGCATTTTAGGTGCTGTTTGTTGGGTAACGGGTACCATCAATTTATTTTCATCTTGCCAACTTAATAAATCGTCCTCAGAAATCTTGTTTGGTGAATTAATTTCAAACCTAACAGAGGGAGCTTGAGGAATTTAGGAGATTCTCAAAATAATTTGACTTGCAATGATGTATGCCAATGTGAGACTTGCAAGGTTTTTTAAATTACATGCATCTTTAATGGAACTTGCCTTGTTGGTAGAGTGTAAAGGCTACCCCAAATGAGGTATACAGCATGAGTGCTTGATTAATGGAATTTGCCTTTTGCTTGAAAAGAAGGGTTTCATAGGACAAGCTAGTTAGCTAGGTATTAATGTTTGGCACTATTACAGACAGTCATAAGGGGTGCATTTTCACGGCTAATAAAAATATAGGATGGGTCACGTACAAATATGAATATGTCTTAGGACCTAGGGCCCATAAATCTCATACTCATAGATAGCCATAGGGCTCCCATAATTAGCTCACCTCCCATTCGGCCATTTCTCATTCATTTCAGATCATTAAATGGCGCCAAGTTTTACCCATTCCCACCATTAAAGGTAAATTTCTCTGCCTAAAGAATTGGCTGGTTGGGACTGGGAGTTGAGAGTATTGTGACTGAATTTACCTTCATAGCTAGAATGAGCCACGTTCCGATTCTCATCAAGCATTTACTTGATCTTAAGATTTTATTATTCTCTGTAGTGTTTTCAATCTAACCTGAACAGTCACGAGTGAACTGTTTGAACCATCACCGTTATTCTCTGCAGTGTTTTCAAGCAGTTGAATCGTTGATTAATGTTTTCGAATCGTTGTTGATCCGGACAGTTGGACCATTTGGACTGGAAACCATCCAGGCAACCGGTTATGTTTTATCCTAAACCTAATCCTCGGCCAAAAACTGTTGAATTGGTCAATACCTTATTGACTCAGATGGTCAAACCATCAATCCATTCGACCCGTTCAACAGTTTTGGTCTTTTTTTAATTTTTTAATTGTTTTTGTTAAAATGGATTGTCCATTCAAATCAGACGGTTGAACCATCAACCCAGAAACCAATGGCCATGGGTTGCTACATGTACATACAAACTTCCGGAATCCATAATTTTGAGTTTGGTTATCCGATCAGAATGATCTATCATCTATGTATTTCTTAAAAAAAAAACTTTTTTACTTTTAATTTCAATTTTACAAATAATGAAAAAAATAGAAGTCTGACTCGTTCGACTCAGACAATTGAACCGGTAACCCGCAACCTAGAGAAAAAAAACGGTTCACAGCTTCTAAGTTCTAACCTAGAGGAAAAAACGGTTCGCAGCTTCTAAGTTCTAACCCTCTGGGTCGGTTTTTAAGACAATGATTGTCGGTGAAAATACTATTTCATCTCTGTGTTGCGCCGGGAGATATGGATATTATATGTATTAGCGGCAGTACTGGAACATGAATATAACTAACCATGCAACAAAATTACAAAAAAGCGGGGGAATCAAACGTACCCGATGCAACAGTAAGTAGGGCCCATTAATTAATGATGTGCATGCATGCCACGCGTACTCAGTCTACTAGATGAGTAGATTCCCCGCGGACAAATAATCTACTCAATTGAAAACTTTGAAAGTTTGTTTGATCTTGGGCCAGTGGCCGTTTTCTCTTTCATTTTTGGCCTTCAACAAGTCTGAGCAGAGAAAACACAGGGACAGCGACAGCAGAGGGACGGCCTGTAGAATTAAATTCCGCCATTAAATGCTTTCAACGACACAAGGGTCCTCGAATTCAATTCTTGCAGCAGCCAGGTTTCTTGAGTAAGTGCAATAATTACACCAAATTCCCTCCTTCACCGTCTCTGAAATTCGAATTCTTATAAAAATAATCCTTGGGTAAAGCAGAACCTTTAGAAAACTCCTTTAATCTCCAAATATGTCTCCTCAAATTCCTCCTCTTCTCTGATACGCATTACAAGGATCATCATATTTACAGTCTTTGTCGGATTTTTATTAGAATTTATTATTGATCTTTTAATGATGTTGTAAAGAAGAATGTGAGAGTTTTGGGTGCTGAAGAGATTGAAAAATGGATGGTTGCACTGTAGGAGATGAAGAAACAGTTTCAAAAAGAGACGAGGAAGAAATTTGTGCTTGTTCCAGTGGTCAAGCGCAGCATAGGCGCACTAAGAGGTAGGCATTTTTGGGTTTTTCAATATTGCTTTCTTTTTAATCTATTTTTGTTGATCTGTTTGCCTGGAGTTGGTACCCATGGAAGGACATTTCACATAAGAGGAGATCGGTTTTTGATCTAAAGGTTGCTGCTATAATTTTATATCCATTATATTTGTTTATAAGAACTCATTTTTACCATTTTTCTTTCGGTTAAATTCCTGCAAATACAAAGCTGAAGCATCTGGTTGTGGCTTTATAAGATGAATATTGCATTATGGATATTTCACATTTCAGTAAAAGTAGATTCTGAGAGGTCAATTGTTCTTTGGGTGGATTTTAGGGTTCCAAGGAAGTAGGGTCATGGAGGACAAGGGTTTCCCCATTAATTTTAGTTGGAAGCACAATTTCTTTTTAGCAGAGATTAGTATTTTTCAGGAAGTTTTAATTGGTCTTAGTAGTGAACTTTTATAGTCGACAAGCTATTGGGCATTTGGTAGCATTTGATACTAGAAACTCTCTTATTCATGTTCTTATAATACTTTTTGGTCAAGAATTCTTCTGCATAGTCTACATAAATGGTAGGTAGAATTATGCATACGATCACTACAATGGACTGAATGGAGCTTAATATGATTCGTTGAACCTTCTTGTGCTGCTTGTTGAGACATGTTGTGGCACAGAAGACAGTAGTACCTCTTTTAACATTCAGAGTCTATAAATTGAGAATATGCAACTCAATGCACATTGCAAATCATTCAAAAGAAGCAGAGATGTTGAAGTATACCAAAAACTATTCTTAAGTTTATATTCAAAATGAACCATGTTTTAAGGTTCATGCATCTCTCTTTTTTATGGTTCTAAATAGGAAAACAATGCTTTATTTCAGTGCTTCAGACATGAACTTGGATGTCACAGGACATGGAGTTCCAAATTCCATGGGAAGAGACTTGGATGTATCACACGTAAGACTGCAATTCTTAAATTGCTTTTGTCCATTGATTATCCCATATAACCAGTTTATAGTTCATACTAGTGTTTTGAAGAGGGGACTTATAATAAGAACTGAGAAAGAAGATTCAAAACTTGCCTGTTATGATTTGCAGTCTATCACCAGAATTTACAGGGCACGAAGTCCTCTCCATCAGAGTGCAAGTGATACTAAGACCAAAACCTCATCAAGCCATCAAGCTTCCTTGGTGAAAGATGTAAGCATTGAATATCTTACTTTACACGGAGCTGTATGTTTATTTGTAATTGTAAGTTGTAACTGCATGTTTGTTCTTATATTTATTTATACAAGAACAGAATACATGTATTATCATGTAAAGGCATATTGACCAAAAAATGTAGGAAATGATCTTTTCTAAAGAAACCTATTACCATGTAAGATTTGGTTCTATGACATTACTTTTTACTTAAACATCTCAAAAAGAAGTCCATGGTAACACCACAAAAGGATTCAGCAGAAACTATTGGAGACCTCCAAGAAGAATGCTTGTCAAATTTGAAGTTTCTTTAGATTTTCTTTTGAACAGTCACAAAACTAATGTACTGTACATAAGTTAATTTCAGTGATTTTGTCTTCTATATATTTTTGCTTTATGTCAATATGAAAACTATCCCAATTTTAGATTATTTTTTCACCTCTCTCCCCACTCTACTCATCTCTCTCTCTTCTTGCACCACTCAACAAGTAACCAATAAGGTTAATATATTGGTCTTTCCTCCATTCTCTTTATTCAATAAGGATTCTAGAAAGACAAGTTCCACATCCTGTATCTGAATCTGGAGTTCCCTTTCAGACTATTATATGTTTATAGCTGATAAGGGCAACTTTTGAGCCATAATATCAATAAAAGTAATCCTTTTAATATAATTTCTAAAATAGGTTAACTTTTTAAAAAAATATATCAAATAAGGGCAGAAATACTGTCCATCTTCTTTCTCCTCCAAACCACTTCCGCCCCAGCCTCATGAATCTCAATGACCACCATCCATCAACGCCACCGGCGGCTCCAGCAACCTCCGGAAATGCCTCTGCCCACCTCTGGCAATGCTGCCTCTGCCCACCTCTGCCCCAGCCCTACGAACCGACCACGGCTCATCGTATCAATAGTCCTGTTGGTTCGGCTATCTTAATTTGTATGTTTATCTTTGTTGGGTCCTAAGTCATTAGTTATTGGGCCTTAGTTACTGGGCCTAATCTTATTTAGTGTTTATTTTGACTAGGTGTCCCATCACTAATCAGGGGCATTCTGGTCTATTTATGTAACATTATGTAATGTTCTTATATATAATAGATTAGGGCTGGCTGAGAAC